AATGCTATTTATGATATTGTACAGAGTATGAAACAGTTATGAGCGTTCAATGTATGACATAGTTTTAAGAGTTGAAACAAAGAAACTCACAAAAACGAAGAATATAACCCGTAGTAACGAGAAAAGTAGCTGAAAGGTGTTTATGAAACGAACCGAAGCTAAATTATTGCAAAGTAAAGTTGTAATGAAGGCAAACTTAGATGAATATGCAAAAACGTCTGAAAGCATGTTCACAAAGCGATAAGTATATGGTTTTGAACGAACTGCGCATGCGTATTTTAGACCTAAATAAGTCGAGAAAGCACATAGAAATTGTATTTACTGTAATGATGTTTTGTGTTTTTTTGGTAGGAAATTACACACGAGTTAAGTGTTGTTTGTGTTAAATATTTTGCAAATGAAATAAGTAAAGTTGAAATTGAAGACAGTCGTCACGTGATGACAAAGACATTGTGCCATCGTGTACCATACTCGTTGCATTAAAAAGTTTGACTGAGCAAAAAACAGGTACGGTAATTCTGAATGAAAAAAACCAATATGTAATCTGGACTCCTCGGACAAAGGCCTTTCTAACGATTTGAGATTTGTAGCGTTTGATCCAAAAATTTGCTAGAAAAGTTCTGGACAGGCAAACACAAGCGTATTATTTATATAGATGACACTGTTAGATAGGCTTGCGGTCAGAGAAATACAAACGAGAAATGGGAATAAATAGTAGCTATGAATTAAATAGAATCGCGATTTTTGTAACACCAAAAGGAACACCACCAGCTAAGTAAATAACTGAAGCAATCTATATACATTTACTGAAAAAAGAAAGTTTTTATCAAAATGAATTAATTGTTCACATATCTGGATCTGCATGCACAATAACCAAATTCCATACAAATATATCTATAATAATAATAATAGAGTTTGTCTGTATGTGTGTGTGTGTGTGACTGCCACAGCTCCAAGAGACCTGAAACTTTTCACGCACACTAAGGGGATTCTGAGGGTGAGCCTCTGGTTTTTTTTTTTTTTTTTTTTTGTAGATTTGACTCGAAACAATTTTGACCAATTTTTTGCCCTCCAGCCCTTAAGCTCCATAATTCTGCTTTCTGAAGGTAAAAAGAAAAAGTGTCATTTTTTTCTAATTCTCACTTAATGAATGAAGAATATGTGGAGGTTTTCTGCCAAATATTGTTGAAAAAGAATAAAATGTTAAAAAAAAATCTGCCACAAATTGGGAAAAAATGGGCATATTTTACCAGAAATGAACAAAATTCAATAGGGTATGGGGCCAAACATTTCTTAGCGAGTCAAAGGCAACACGGAGGGAAAAAAGGCATCATATTGTTGCGTCAGCGAGATCACGTGACGTTTCTAGAACTATCTTGTTCCTTCGTGAATTGTCTGGAGATTACTAGATATAGGGTAGTCTGGTATATATATATAAGAGGGTGACAACGTGGGGGAATAATGTGTGTGTAGACAGTGAGTAATTGATCTGCAGTCAGAGAGTATTATTGAAACTTTTGTTTATAAATCATTGTTTGTAGTAACTATTTGTAATAATTGTTATTGTAAATTGTACTGTTGTGTGTATATTAAAACGTATTTGTGTTAAAAAGAAAACTGTGTGTATCAATCTTGTTGGTAAATATTGATACGTATCTGCTTCTTTGATAATTTCTGGTAAAAATTCTTTCCGAGTGACTTCAGTGATACAAGTCCCTTCTTGATTAAAACTAGTTTATTCTTTCCGAGTGACTTCAGTGATACAAGTCCCTTCTTGATTAAAACTAGTTTATTCTTTCTCATTACAAACTTTGTAATATATTTAATTTCCACAGTCAATTATACTGTTAAGAGCCCTGAAGTCCACACAGCAATGTTGGGTCCCATCCTTCTTCTGGACTAACACGAAGGGAGCTGACCAGGGACTATCTCATTTCTCGACTATCCCTTCCTTAATTAGGCCATCCATGAATTTTTCCATCTCTTGTCGCTTTGCCAGAGCTATTCTTCTTGAAGGGATCTTTATTGGACGGTGATTGCCTGTGTTTATTCTGTGCTCCACAAAGTCTGTGCAGCCGAGGTCATGATCTCCTTTCGAAAAGACGTCGCCTAATTCGCCAAGAGTTCTCTAACCTTAGAGCCTATGATGATGAAAAATGGACCATACTATTCTTATAGAGGTCAGTTAAATGTTCTGGGAGAGGATGTCCTTTCTTTATGGTCGTATTCCTTGC